ACGGCACGAGGGGAGAGACCGGAGGCTGGGAGCCACAGGCAGCGAGCAGGGAGTTAAAAAAAGACTTTTCTGCTTGCACAGCCTAACTCCATTGGGAAGGATGCCCAGGCAGTGCTAGACCCAACCGGCTTCGGTGCGGTACCATGGCACCCCCCTCCAGGGCTTGGGGAATCCCCCCTCCCGCGGGAGCCTGGCAGGGCACAGGGATGGAGGCGTCCCAGCCTCGCATTGCCCGTCCGGCCCCCCCAGAGCAGGGGGCTGCGGGGGCAAACCCGGCTCGGCCTCAGGGGCGGCGCAGGGCAGGGCCACCGGCTCCCAGGAAAAGGCGCAGATGCAGCGTATTTCATCGGCGTTTGCAAAAAGGAAACCTCCGCTACGGGGCACGTTAAGTGCAATGAAGAGCTGCAAAGCAGGGAGGTTTATGGGTGGGTCAGGGTGGTTTTCACGGAACAGAGCTGGTGTCTGGGGTTTCAAAGCACAAATGCCTCACGTGCAGCAAAACGATGCTACAGCGTCACTTTGAAGTGATGGACCAGGCTGTTTCTGAGAAGAAAAGCCTCCAAAATACTGCAGCCAACAGGCAATGGCACGGTTGCCATACACCTTTGCTAAAAAATACAAGTTAGGCTATAACCAGAATCTTAATACACAGCCCTGAAAACCCCCTTCTCTCCGTTTGAGCTGCAGATGGAGTCGGTGCCCATGGCACGGCGCGACGACGCGCTCTGCTGCGGTACGCAGTGAAGTCACCGCTGTCCGACCGTGAGCACCTCAGAGGCCACGGCCGACACGGGATGTCCGAGTACCGAGACGTTCCCAGAGCATCAGAACCTAAACACCATCTCCTACAGGACGAGTTGCTCCATGATGCTCATCTGCACCTCCGCTCCGCGCAGGGGGCTCGCGAGGGCTCTGCAGAGGGGGTCGAAGCCGGGAAGGCTGGCACCGAGGTGGCCCCTGGGCTTCCTCGCATGCCTGGAGGTTTTTACCCGGCGGGCGGGGAGGGGGCCCGGGCAGTGAATCAGAGCTGAGCCAGCCAGCCGTCACCTCCCGGCCTCATCCTGCCGGGCGCCCACGCGCAGGGAGCATCATCGGCACAAGCGGAGGCTCTGGTAACCGAGCAACAGGGGGGAAAACGGAGCAACATTGGGGACTCAGCACCGCATCCTCCTCCGTGGAAAACCTGCTTCCTCCAAGTGACCGAGCAGGGGCCCAGGGCCGGGGGGGGCTCACTGACGCACGCTAACGCCACCGGTTCCCACAGCGCCCGGGTGGGAAGGACGCGGAGCAGCTCCTCGGCGCTGCCGGGCCGCCCGGCGGCGGGTTCAGCGCTGAGCGCTGCCTGCTCCAGGACCCCGTCCCTCTGGGGGGAGGATACCCCCCACGGCATCAAGCTGCTGCATGAATGCTCAGAAGGGGCTGAGAGGGTGCAGCAGCGAAGCTTTTTGGGCAGAACGTGGGGCTTGAAAGGTCCCCAAGCCCCCCCGCCCCAAGGCAGAGCCCTTCCCAGGAGCCACCCCGAAGGTGGGGGGGTCAGCGGCACTTGGGGTCCCTCGGCTGCCCCAGCCCCACACCGACCAGTCTATCCTGGGGCGCCCCAGGTGGCTGGGGTAGCAGAGGAGCTCCCGGCTCTTGCCTAGGGAGGGGACGTCCCTTTCACAGGCACCAGCCACGCTACGGGTCCCGGACCCCG